GAAGTCCTTAACTTATCTCGTGGCAATAGTCTAATATGCTAAGGATCCAGTACTTCCCATCCGCGTGGAAGACCGCTGAAGTTATAATGATTCCAAAGAAGGTGGGTTTGATATTTCCCCAGGATTACCGTCCCATTAGCCTGCTGTCAGCTACGTCTAAGCTCGCTGAAAAGGTGATTTTACGTCACCTTGAGAATTTCTCGTCAGATCACCATGTGATTCCTGACATGCAATTCGGTTTTCGGTCTGAACATAGTACGGAGCTACAGGCGGTTAGGCTGGTGGAGCGTGTAACCAGAGGATTCACCCTTAACGAAAGTACTGGCATTTTGCTTTTGGATGTCTCAAAAGCATTTGACAAGGTGTGGCACGCGGGCCTCTTGTATAAACTAATCCAAAAGGGCTTCCCTTTTTGGCTTCTAAAACTACTGAAATCCTTCCTTGAAGGTAGGAAATTTCGGATCAAAATTGACAATGTCCTGTCGACAACACAGCTGATTACAGCCGGCGTCCCTCAGGGTTCGGTCCTTGGACCTATCCTTTACTCACTGTACATCCATGACGTCCCTAGTCCCAGCAACTGTGAAGTCTATCTCTATGCTGACGATACTGCATTGGTGGCTCAGTCGTGGTCTGGTGACCTAGTCCATGACAGGCTGCAAAGTGCGGTGGAGGAAGTATTAGATTGGGCGGATCGGTGGCTAATTAAAATAAACCATTCGAAAACGCAGACAATCTACTGTACAAAAAGACGTCGCGGCGTTCCGTCTGAAGTTTCAATGAATGGACTTCGTATACCATGGGAATCCTCCGCTAAGTATCTCGGTGTCATTCTGGACAAAGGGATGACTTGGCGGAACCATATGGAAGCGCTAAAAACTAAATTCCAAATTACGTTTCGGCAGCTTTACCCATTATTATGTAAACGGTCAAAATTAAGTTTGATTAACAAGATTCGACTCTATAAGGTGGTCATAAGACCAGCAATGACTTACGCATGTGCGGCTTGGTGTTTTTTTGCTAAAACACACATGCGAAATCTGCAGGTTCTGCAAAGCAGGACGTTGCGCACTATTGCTGATGCCCCATGGTATGTCTCTAACGAAACTCTACATAGAGACCTTGATGTCCCTTACCTAAAGGACTACATTAAGCAACAGGCGCAGCGGCGCTATAGCCTAGCGGAATCGCTCAGCAATCCTCTGTTGCGTGAGTCAGTGGACTACACAGTCGAGCAAGTTCGCAAGCACAAAAGGCCGCGGCTCGCACTGTAATCAAAATTAACTCGTGAACTTAGAACAACCAAAATTGGAGCATTTTTACACAATCTTTAGAAAAAAATCAAATATTTTTAGACCATATCAAAATCTGTAAAGCGATTTTAACAATGCCTAAACGCTGCCTATCCTAAAAGATTATCTTCTTCCCCTTTGCTCTCGTTCTTCCTTCTCTCCTTTCCTTCCCCTTTTTTCCTTAAAATTGTCTGGGTTACCAGACCTGACAGACTTACAAACTGACACTGTGACTCAAGAGCAAAGGTCCCACGGACCGCTCTGACAACCAACGATGACTTGAAAAGGGGTATGGAAATGAATGTCAAATGAATTTTTCATCCTAATTGCTGTGCACACGGCACAACACGGAGCATGTATATTATTTAACTCAATTATTGTTGATCCATTTGAATGTTGACACCAATGCTGCCAGGTCTGGTGAAAAATCACCAGATCTGGTGATTTGTAGACCAATCTGGTGATATGGTGAAAACTTTTTTGAAAAGTCCTATTTTCTGATTTTTAGGACTGGCCTATTTATAAATTTAAATTTTTATTCAAAAGAAATCTACTGTTTGTCAATATACATAAAGTATATAATTATATAAAGTACGTAACTGTAGCGTTATACTTTTCAAAAACTCCACTCCTAATGCCGGGGAATACCCGTGCAAAACGCGTGCTCCGCGCGGAAGTACCGTAATCGCTTTACTTAAGAAGGTTCCGTGGGCGCCGCCAGCATTTTATACGGGCAGTATTTACAGTAGTGTTTTTATTGTTTTCACTTGCGCCTCTGTAGAGTTTTTTTTATTGCAAAGTTTTGTTTCTGATCAACTTAAAGGTATGTATTTAAAATATTTTTAACTTTGTGTCTTTATCAAGAAATTTTGCTGGATATGAAAAAATTACTCGCATATTTAAGTTCAAAAACATTTAAACCTCTCGTATGCCACGATTATATTTGCAAGCTGATTTCTGCAAAATTATTTTTGAACATTTTTATTTTTCACTTTAGAATAACTACGAAATATGGAAAAATTTGTAATCAAGAAAAAACAAGAACCTGTTACTTATCCATGTCCACATTCACCACAAGCAAGCACTAGCAACGTTGATGCAAAAGAACAATCTGACTCAGATTCTGATTCTGTGCTTGACGGTGGAAATTCAGATGTCTTCAACTTTAATAAAGAAAAAGAAGTTATACGATCATAAATAAGCCGCATGGGAGAAACATGAAGATTTTGGAAAATGGATCAAGCCGAGCTCTCATGGTATTCATCATTTTAATTGTAAAATATGCAATAAAGAGGTGGTGTAGCTGCTGTCAAAAAACATAGTCTATCAAAAAAACATATCGACAAAATCAACGCAATGAGTAGCCAATCAATTTTGTCAAAAAAAGTATTTACTATTCCGTCTGATAAACTAATTAAAGAAAATGAGATTAGAATTGCATCATTTATTGCGGAGCATAATATTGCTATTAACGTTTCTGATCATTTGACTGAACTTGTCAAATATATTTGTTTATCTGGTATGGAGCCTAGCCAAGTTTCAAAAATGTCTTGTGAGAGAACAAAATGTACAGCAATTATTAATAGTGTTATAGGAAAGGCAAGCTTTGAACACCTTATTTCAGAGTTAAAAAAATTTCTTTGATGGTTGATGAAGCGACAGGTATTTCCTCAGAAAAACATTTAGCCCTAGTAGTACGATACAATAATAATTCCAAGATAAAAGATGAATTTCTTGGACTCGTATTAGTCGAGACAGCAACTGCACAAAATCTATATAATGTTATAGTAAATTTTTTTGTAGAGAATAATATTCCTTTTAAAAATAATTTAGTCGGATTTACAGCTGATGGGGCAAATACAATGATGGGGGCGCATAATTCACTAAAAAACTAAAAACACTTTTAGTTAATGACAACCCTGATCTTTATACCATGGAATGTATTTGTCATTCTTTAGCATTATGTGCTTCTTTTGCATGTGAAAAATTGCCAGATGATCCAGAGAAGCCAGTTAGAAGTATTTATTCATATATGCATCGCAGTTATAAAAGACAATCAGAATTGCGTAAATTTCAATCATTTTTTAATATTAAACCTCATAAGCTGTTGCATGCTTCACAAACAAGATGGCTGTCATTGATTTTCGCTGTTTCTAGAATCCTTGAACAGTATTACTTTAGAGTCGAAGCATTCGATAAACTATCAGGAGCAGACGAAATCAATAGTATGCTAAACAATCCATTAAATAAAATATACGTTCTCTTTCTTGAATATATATTACCAACTTTTACGAATTTAAATTTAGAATTCCAGTCAGAAAAACCAAAAATATGTAACATTTACCCCCAAATGTTGAGCGCCTGTAAATTTTTATTAAGTTGTTTCCTAAAACCAGACAACTTAATTAATAAAGATTTAGAATATATTCAATATCATAATCCGGAAAATTTTCTTTCAATTGATGAAATTTATTTGGGTCCCAAAGTAGCTGCAGAACTGACTAAACATGGATTCAAAGAAACCGTTAGAAATAATATTAAAACAAAATGTCTGAATTTTTATATTGAGGCAGTTGATCAGCTACACAAACGATTTCCTTTCAATTCTCGTGAAACAAAAATTCTTCAGTTACTCACTATATTGAGTCCTCCAGATATCAAAACAACGGAAAGTATAGCACCTTTAGCCTTTTGGTTTCCAAATCTTGTTAACGATATTAATACTCTAGACCATTGATTCCCAAAGGGGTCTGTATCGACCCCTAGGGGTCTATGACAACCTGCAAGGAGTCTACGTCAGCGAAAAAAAATTTGGGAGTCCATGAAATGAATATGGGGGTCCACGATAGTGTATCTCAACACATACACTGATAGTACCTATTTACTTACATCATACTATCTTATAATATTAAAACATATACATTATTTATAAAAGTACCTATGAAGTAAAAAATGTATTATATATGTTTATAAAATTGTGTAAGTTTCAGGATGTTGGTATTCGCTTTGTGGTCTCAATACATTTTGAACTTGTAAAAACCTGAGAGTCGCAGTCTCAGAGCTTCGCTACCTTGCACTGACTTGTTCAATTCGTCACTCTATAAATACGAATGTGGGACAATTACGTTTATTCGTTTCCTGAATCTTGAAAAGGAAAGTGCTAAGAAAATATTTTAAAAAATATAAACAGATAGTATATCACACAAAATATAGTGAGTCAGCGTTATTTTGTTTGAGAGTGCTGGAGAAAAGTAAGTACATTATTTTTTATTAAATTTTAGTTTTGTACTCGTAGATAGCAAAGATAGATAAATTACGCCAATCATGACTTTAGTTATTATTAGTTAAATATTCAATCATGCAAAATTACACAAGTACTCCTCAATAGTTGCTTTTTGAAAGTTTTAGCAATCGGTAATATAATTACAGTGCAATCTCCGTAATTCGAGCTAATTGTTGCAAGAAGATGTTCGAATTATGGAATGTTTTCGGAAAAATCAAAAAATATTTTTAATATACAGCTGCTGGATTTTCTTTCTTATTTAAATAATTTAATTTTGCCCACAGATGACTGATGCCATGTCCGAATCTAAAAAGAAATAAAGACAGTACAGTGCTGATTATTTGAAATTTGGCTTCATTCCATCATTGCCGGACAAACAATCGCCTATGTGCCTTTTATGCAACAAAGTTTTGGGCAATGACGCTATGAAACCATCTAAACTGCAAGATCATCGGAGAAGATGCCACCCTGATAAAACAGAGAAAGATTTGAAATACTTTCAAACACTCAAAGATAAATTTCAGAAGAGACCTACACTGGACAGAATGTTCGCTTCTACGTCACAAAGAAATGATGATGGTTTGCGGGCGTCTTACAATATCTCGTTACTTATAGCAAAATCCGAAAAACCGCATACCATCGGAGAGAAGTTAATTTTGCCAGCCGTTGAAGAGGTTTTAAAAACTGTTTTACACAAACCTGCATCTGATATCATTAAAAGAATTCCCTTAAGCAACAATACTGTTGAAAGACGTATTGAAATGAGTTCTGATATTGAAAGCTTCTTATGTAATTATTTGCAATCGACCCATTTCTCTATACAACTGGACGAGTCAACTTTACCTGATAATACAGCATTATTATTGGCATATGTTCGTTTTATTATGAATCAAGAAATCTACGAAGAACTGCTCTTCGCAAGAACTTTGATAACCGACACTAAAGGTGAATCAATATTTCATGTTTTGAAGGATTATTTCATTGAAAAAGCAATTCCTTTATCAAATATAATATCAGTAGCTACAGATGGAGCACCTGCCATGGTTGGACGTTATCGTGGATTTATAAGCTATTTAAAACAAAATGTGTCAGGGGTGTTAGCAATACATTGCGTCATCCATCGACAACATTTAGTTGCTAAAAATTTAGATTGCATGAATCACTTCATTTAGTCATTGATGCAGTAAACCGAATCCGAAGCAACGCGTTGAATACGCGGTTATTTGCGCAGTTGTGTGAAGAAAATGACGAACACTTTCATCAATTATTCCTTCACACTGAAGTACGCTGGCTGCCGAAAGGCTTATGTTTGACAAGATTTTTTGCACTTTTTGAGACTATTTTAGAATTTCTGGATACTAAAGATAAAATTTGTAAAAGAAAATTTAATGAAGAGGAAAACAGACATCGCCTATTTAACAGATTTGTTTATAAAATTTAATATGGTTAATTTGCAATTACAAGGCGACAGTTTAAATTTGATTAAAACAAAGTCCGTCTTATCAGCATTTCTTGCCAGAGTTAAACTAATGAAGCGAATTTTCTCAGTTCCCCAATTTGAAAACAGACAAGCTGCCAGAAAGACGACGTTTCAACTTACGTTCAACATTTAAATGCCCTCTATTCAGATTTTGAATCTAGGTTTGAGGATATTTTGACTATGGTAATACCACCGTGAATAATTAATCCATATGGTGACATAGAAGAAACGAATGTCATAATACAAGAGGAACTGACTGAACTAAGTACAAACGAAGAACTTAAGGTTCAGTTTAAAAACGGATATCAGCAATTCTGGCTGCAAAACAACATACCCGTTACTTATCCCGTATTATGGAATATAGCGAGGAAATTTTTAATTTCCTTTCCATCGTCATACCTAGTGGAAAGGGGGTTCAGCGCTGTTACCAATCTCCTAAAGAAAAAAAGAAACAGACTGGACATCATTAGCAAAGGAGATTTAAGATTAAAATTGACGCCAAATGTTGATAATTTATTATTAAAGCATCAGGTTCATCCTTCTCACTAAAAATATTGACTTATTGCTTATGTTATTTTATTTATAGTTTATTTTATGTGTATTGGTGTCTGACCAATAAATGCCCGGATTGGGAATAAGTGCCCGCATTGATTTTTTTAAAGAACCCCCCTTTATAGAAAATATTTTTTTTTTAATTATTCTGAAAATTCAAGGATAGGTACACACTAAAATTTTTTGCTTATTTTTAGATAACTTAAGCGTATAAGAAGCGGAATTTAATCAAACTAACAGTGAAATTATTGTAGAACATACGTTTATGTTATAATTAATAAACGAACTCGCTTATTGTACTATTTTAAGTAAAAAACTTTTTTTATATTATTTTTCACTTTTTTTTATTTTATCCCTCTTATTTTTTTTCAATGCGGGCACTTATTGGTCAGACACCTGTTTATTTAATATTACGTATATTTTACATAACAGATACAAAATTTTATTTTGAGTAGTTTTAATTTGAATTCAATTAATAAATGTATAAATTAACATGTGTTTTTACTTTAAGTTTTTAACACTAACCTTCACTACAGTTAGAAATTTACAGGAAATCAATATCAGGTAAGTAGGGGGTCTAGCCAACACGGAAAAACATGGCAAGGGGTCTACGATACAAAAAAGTTTGGGGAACTCTGCTCTAGACAGAGAATATAGGCTTTTCAAATTTTGATTTTTCTTTAAATGAAACTGAATTTTGGAAAGAAGTGTGCAATGCGAAAAGGGGTGATAATAGTGTTATTTTTCCAGAGCTTGCAAACTTTGTAAATGTTTTATTTACATTACCCCACAGTAGCTCAAGTTTGGAAGGATTATTTTTTGAAATCAATTTGAATAAAACAAAAATTCGAAACAAATTAGGCTCCAAAACAATGAGTGGAATCTTACACAGTAAAAGATTAATTTCTCTAAATAATAACAGCTGTTTTAACTTTTCTGTAACTGAAGGTATCATTAATCGGCGCAATAATAGCATGTATAAATAAATTTTGATATATATTATATACTCTATATACTTTAATATCCAGGACTTTATTTTTTTTCAATAAGAAAAACGTTGTAGTTGATAATATTTTGTAATAAATCCAAAACCTATGTAAAACATTTTTTATTTCTGTTATTGTATGTATCTTGTCTAAATATACGAAAATACAAACATCAAGACTTAATTTAAATTTTTTTTTCAATAAGAAAAACGTTTTAATTGATAATATTTTGTAATAAATCCAAAACCTATGTAAAACATTTTTTATTTCTGTTATTGTATGTAGCTTGACTAAATATGCGAAAATAAAAAAATCTGGTGATTTTTTGCAAAATCTGGCAACTTTTTGAACAAGTGTCTGGTGATTTTCAGTTTTTTAACCTGGCAACATTGGTTGACATCTCATCTAGATCCACCTTACCTGTGATTCTTATTAATCAAATTCAAGCGGATAACCAAATGGAAATGGTATTTACCATTTTGGGTTGGTATTTACCAATCCGTTCAAGCGATGTAGTTATCAGTTTGGTTATAAGATCCGTGACGTCACGAATCAGCTGTTATATGTCATAGTTATCACCGCAAAATTGTGGTATTTACCCAACTCAAGAGTAGTTTTATATTTCTGGTTATTATTTGAAATGTGACAACTTAGAATTTTGCCGGGTATTGGATATTGTTATTGTACTTCAGCTTTATTTTTGAGAAAAATGATACAGGCTGACTTTACGGTTGTTGGGGACACTTTAAATGTAGTTCCTGTGTAGCCATATACCACAAGAATATTAAAATAGGGCCATATAAACTCACTAGATGATATCCACCTGTATACGGTTTTGCTAATTTCTTTTTTCATCATTTCTGCTGAATCAATAAATGTTTTCTTTGACATGCGGAAAAATTTAGAGAATTGAAAGTTATCATAGCTACAAAGCCATGGTTCCATCATTAAAAAAAAATCTGAAAAAACATTTTTCCCATGAATATTATGAAAGATTTCTTATTTAAACTTTCCATATACAGTTCTAGACGAAAAAGCACCGATTATTAAGTGATAATAAAAATAATCAGAGATTATATACGCGCTTTTCTAAAATAAACAACTTGCAATAAAACCGCGGTTAAAACCAACGCGTTCAAGCGATTCGTGTAACTGACGTCATCAACCCGTGTGTCATCTTGAACCATATTATAACCGCGGCACATAACACAGAAATTTTGGTTATTCGCTTGGATTTGATTATTGATCCTTTAGCGCATAAATGTCGCTAGTATTTTTCATTGTGATGGCATCTGTGAACAAAATATTAAATTGTATTGACACGATCACAGATCTCATTTTAACAGTTTCCTATAGACACCATCTCAGGGACAGGCAACTTGCATTCCTATAAGGCGTGATGCGTGTTGCCTGAGTCTGTCCAATATAGGTATTCCTAAAAATTATTTCCACACTTCATTTTGTTGGCTACAATTTATCAGCATTACATTTTTCTAAATATACATAACTTGAGACCTCAGATTTCCTTGATTTCTATATTTTTGTTCTTTTAGAGGTTTGTTGCCAACTTTTTAAAACTTAAGCAACCCAGTAATATCTATAAGGACTTAAGGTGATTCAGGAGGTATGGTCGATATCAAGGCCAAGGTAGTGTTCAAACATGTTGCGCATGTGGGCGGAGCTTCGTGACGTGACCTTGAGATTCGTCAGCTTGTAGTCACCAGAGGCAGGATTGTCGTATCGTGGTTAATATACTAAGTGACATATAAATCCGAACACCCAGTTTAAATGGTTTTATTTTAATAAAAGTTGGTGAATGTATTTATCTTACTGTAAATAATAAGTGAAAAAATGTTCAGCCGTATCAGTTGGACATTCCGGTTTTTATACTGCTTTTTTTTAATTCACTAACGCTCTAAAAATCAATATTTCAGCCGCAGTAAAGAATCAACGTTGGCGGATTTTGGTTCTTGACATCCTTTACGATCGGTTACGATGCCTAGAGTACGGAGACCTGTACGATTTCGTCAACTTAGTGAGTTTGATAGGGGCCGTATAGTGGGACTTCGGGAAGCTGGACTTTCTTTTCGGACAATTGCAGTTAGAGTGCAAAGAAGTGTAGACACTGTGGTTAGGTGTTGTCAGGCATGGCTTCGAGAAGGCCGTACGCAAAGAGCAAGGGGCACTGGACGCCGCCGTAGAACAACAGACCGTGAAGATCGCCGCCTAAGATTATTGGCCTTAAGGGACCGTTTCTCCACTACCAGGTCCATTGCAAATGAATGGTTTGCAGAACACGGAAGACCTATTGGCATGCGAAGTGTTTACCGACGAATGAGAAGTTTTGGCTTGTTTTCATACCGGCCACACTGGGTCCTCCCTTTAACTCGAGAACACCGACGTAATCGCCTTGAGTGGTGCAGACAACGGTCACTCTGGGATCAGGAATGGAACAGTATTGTCTTTAGTGACGAGTCTCGATTTTGTTTAGGCATGCACGATGGTCGTGCCAGGGTTAGAAGGCGACGTGGTGAAAGAAGGAATCCACAGTTTTTAGTTGAAAGACATGTTCATCACACTGTTGGAGTTATGGTTTGGGGTGCTATAGCTTATGGTTCCAGGTCACCTTTAATCTTCATCAGAGGTAACATGAACGCGCAGCGTTATATCCACGAAGTTCAAGAACCCCATCTTTTACCCTATCTTGACACCCTGGCAGATCCAACTTTCCAACAAGATAATGCCCGACCACATATTGCAAGAGTCACAATAGACTTCTTCCAACATAATGATGTCACATTGTTACCATGGCCACCAAGATCTCCCAACTTATCCCCAATTGAGCACGTGTGGGATATGATGGGTAGGAGATTGCTCAATTTGCAACGTCCTCCTCAGGCTCTAGAAGCACTTCGAGAGGAGTTGGTGGTTGCCTGGAATGAAATACCACAGGAGGACATTGACCACCTGATCAGAAGCATGCCTAGGCGCGTTGGAGAATGCGTAGCACATCAGGGTGCATCCACACATTATTAAAGGTCAAAGGGCTTTAAAGCAGGGCAATCATTTTGAAATTTCTATCATTTACTTATTATGCTTCATTAAGTACTTATACAAAATTTTATTAAAATAAAACCATTTAAACTGGATGTTCGGATTTATATGTCACTTAGTATACTATATAGTGCGATTTGTTCACTTACTTACTTGTGTAATCTAACACCATTGTGTTACTTTCTGACAGATCATGGCAAAAGAGACATGCTAATTATAAGTTATAGCTATAGGAGCTGAGCATTGCGATTTTTTGGTATCCTTTGGTATTCCAAATGCTGTCCCTCTTTGACATCACTCTTTTACAACACAATTCTTACGATTTATACATATATACGAGTATTGTGACTTGTGACAAATCTAAGTCTG